GTTGAAGGATTTTTGTAATCAGAAGATACCTACCAAGTCAAATGGCTAGTTCTACAAATTGGTTACTCTAGGAGTTACACTTTAGGGTAGTGAGTGTTGGATTTTCAAGGATATAATGTTAGCATGATTAAAATAGAAGAAATGAAAGGACAAGATCATCTCCAGATGTACTAGAATGGATAAAATACAATATAAAGATATCCACCAACACATGGACATGGCATAAGAATGACGACTTGGGCAGGTTGGGGCAGATCTTGTGAAGGCCTAAATAAGTTTTATGTCATGAGAGTGATGAGATCTTAATAGAACAGGTTGGAAAAGGAGGAGAGATTTAATTTAACATGGTTCGATCTGGTTTCAAAGAAATAGATTTCATTGGATTGTTTTAGCACACGTGCGTTTGATTTAACCTGGTATGATCTGTTTGCGAAGAAATAGGTTTCATTGGATTGTTTTACCGCTCGTGTGTTTAAATGGAAACAAAAACAGATTTCGGTAATTGATCACGAGTTTTTTAGCAACAAGTAGCTTCTTGTGGGAGTGGGGGGTGGTAAAACTCTTCAAAGTTTTTGCTTCTCTTAAGATATTTTTATTTATTTTAATAATTAGAATAACTATTCTATTTTGTGATGGATAACATGATAATGCTTTAAACTCCATTGCAGGTATCCGAGAAAAAGGCTCGGGCATGGTGTGCCTCAAAAGGGAATATCCCATACTTTGAGACTTCTGCCAAGGAAGGCACCAATGTTGAAGAAGCATTCCAGGTCATTGCAAAGAATGCCCTGAAGAGCGGTGAAGAAGAAGAAATGTGAGTACAAAAAGACCATAAAACCATATTTGATTCCTATTTTTAATAGTTCTATTCACACACATGCATGGATGTAGTTTTCCGAAAGAGGTGAAACTGGCTTTGGCAGGAAAAAAAGGCCTTTTAGTTTACCTTGAACCTCGTCTAGTAACTTGAAAAAAATTTCTTTAGTGCAGTTTATGTCCATTAAATTTTAGACTTAACAGGTTTTCTTTCCAAAGCAAGGTAAAGTTAGAATGCAGTTGAACCACTCTGAAAGTCAATTTAGTAGCTACTTTCAATATCTTGCAATTATTATCCCTAAAATCATATATGAAAATATTTACTTTAGATTATATTTATTAATGCTAAATAAATATAATGATGTATGTGGGTTTTTAAGTGATGCTAAATTATCATTTTCTTGTTTAAATAAATTCCTATACTTTTACATTCATAATGAAAATTGCGCTAACATGTTGATTTACACATTTTGGGGGGAACTCGATATGTTGTGAAGATACTTGCCTGACACAATTGACGTTGGAAGCAGTAATCAGCAAAGACCAACTGGATGCGAGTGCTAAACAGAGTTCAGGATTCAACAATCTCAATCTTTCTCTCTTATTTTCTGTTTATTCTGAGACTACATCTGTATTATACAAATGTTTTCACAGGGGAGTGAACGATACCCCCCGCAAGTCGAACCTGGTTGTTTTGTGACTGCTAACGTATGTACTGCTTTGATTTGATGGAGTTTTACGAGTTTGGTTGCTTTGTTGAGAATTGATGTATAAACTAGTGTTTGCAAACATCCTTGCTGGCAATATCTTACTCTTTCTGCTCCATTTGTGTGTGTATAAACTCACGCATCGTACAGTTAAAGATGTCCCATGCATAACTGTTAGCTGGTTTATTACCGGTCACTGTTACCCGTAGTGGATCCTTTTAGAATTTAGTTCCCTGTATTGCAAAACAAATTATTTTACTGTTTACTGAAATTAATCTTAGGAGGCGAATTACTGTTTTACATTCTATTTGATGTTTTTGTTGACATTTCCAGGCTGCCTAAGATCAAGTGCACGAACTGTTTCTTCAACTTCCTTCAAGGGTATTGTATGAATTAGTTGCATTCCCAGCAGTTACTAGTTTTACCGGTAACGATATTAGGTAGATGTGGCGCAGCAAACACAACCTTTTTGAGGTTTAAGGGACGCAGTAATGTAATTCAAACTCCAGTTGGACCAGCAAACATCAACCTCTGGAAAAGCTTCAATCTCAGACCTTATTCAAAATGGATTATGTACATAAGGAATTACATAAATATATTGCTGAGGGAAAAGATTGGATGAACAAGTTGACACTAACAGAGAGAAAATCTACACTGAAGAACTTACTGTCAGACCACCGGGCACGATTATGAATGTGAAAAAAAAACCGCACTAAGAGTGATACTAGAGATACGTGGTAAGCTGTTTAGGAAATTCACTTTTGAGCAGAAAACATAAATATATGAATCTACAACAGATTTACACAACTTCGGTCGTACAAGTTAACCTCCCTACCTACTTGACTAGAAAATGGTCAAAAATTTAAGTTCAACAATTGCTGCAAGTAAAAGAGATGGTCTCTCTGATGCCATCTCTTAGAAAATCCTACTTACATCAATCAGCTGTAGAAGATTAGCATCTAATGGATATTTTTCCACTCAAGGAAATGCAATAAATGATTTGTAACAAAAGTTGCAATCCTTGCGGCGAAATTGTCGCATTTGCCAGCAAATTCCCAGATTTTTGGACGTCTCTTATCACATGGCTAGAAGAAAGATCCGTTCACCAAGCTGAAAAGTTTGTAATCAAACATCAAATTCATGAATAACAGTTACAGAAAAAGGAAAACAACTAACAGGTAGCAACACCACTTGCACCAAACACTGAGCTCTTTGAAGTAGTAATATCACTCATAGAGTGTTCTATTGAGAAACTAAGAGCTCCCGTCGAGCAATCTATTTCCCCACCAACACACATACACCAAAAAAAGGAAAATAGAATGAAATGTCAAGCTCCAACTTTGGTGACGTGCTCTAGCAAATTTCCAACAATATCATGGTTTCTTCGTTGCATCTTATAAAGTTCTCATACAAAACCCTCGGATCTAACTATATTGAGCTGGTAAAATCGTCAAGTTCCCACAACAGCAGTTCCAGTTTTTAGCAATTTCCACTTTTTAACTGAAAACTAGAATAGACACATATTTATGAAAAATACTCACTTGGTAAAAGATACGAAGCAAATATCTGGTCCTCAGAGAGATATTCCCAATTTTACTAGAGCAAGAACTACTTTCTGCCAACCGAGGAAAGCTTATCTGGGTTAGTTTGCATGGAACTTCCTGTCATCATTGCCGACGTAAAAGAGCCTGAAGTAGGATTTGATGCCATCATTGGCCTTGAAATTGGAGGCCTTAAGGATGGCATGCCCATAAAGGCTCTTGATACCGAGTTTGGAACATTCATTCCAACTCTGTTGGGTGGTAAAGACTGAGACATAGGACGAGCTGAGGAGGCAGATATGCCAAGCCGTGTTGCAATAATCTGCGCTCTCTCATGGAGCAGCCTCTGCTTTGACCTATCCAACTGTTCCTTGACCCTCATTGCCACATTTTCCATATCATTAAAGAAAGCCAACTTAGTCTCCAGCTTGTGTAACTGCAAACAAGAATGTCTACATTAGTTATCATGTACATCAGGCACACACACAGAACAGAGAAAAGTTGCACTCATAGGACATCAAATAAGTTAAGCTGAGCTTTAGTATGCTCATGCTCATCTTACAGATCCAAAGAGAGCTAGAGCTCAAGAAGACCAGGAGTCCTGCTCGAGTTAAGACATGATTTGCAAGCTATTTGAGGCTGAGCTCATGAACTGATCTCCCTTCTCAAATGATTTTATAAGATAAAATATCTTCCTCCTCAAATGCAGCATTTCTCATGTCTGATAGAAGTATATCAGTCTACCTCGATCCAATTTACAACAATGTCAAAATATCAAGCAGGTAAAATACATTACTCACCATAGAACCTGAAAACCAATTATTAGCATTTCACATGCATGTTATTGATTAGAATATAAAAAAGGTAGAATCCTTAACATCTTAAAGAAATGTTTAAGTAACTAACGAAACAAGATTATCAACAAAAAAGAAAACCTCAAACAAGCTTTCAAAGTGCAAGGGAACCAAAATTAACTATTTCAAACCACTCAGTCCCTTTGCAATGCTGCTAACAAGAGAAAAATGTAAGCAATGCTGGTTAACATGAGAATACCTGCTTTTCTATTAACAATGCAGCAAGCTCGCGAATATGATCCTCTTCTTGGTCTGCGAGGAGCTTTGCCTTCACTGCTGCAGCAGATACAGCAGTTACTGCAGCTCGCTTTAACTTATCAATAGGAAGATCATCCTTGGTCACTGAGTTCTCTTTATTTTCATTATCACATGCCTTTGCTTCTTTAACTGAGGGCTCTCTTTCGTCATTACCACATTCTTTTGCTTCATCTATACCTGGGGTTAGCAATACAAGTAATATCCAATCACAAGTTGCTTGGACATACATAACAAGTGAACTTGTTGACCAATTTATTTAACGGTGAAGATGCCAATTATTGAACCCCATTAACTGTATATTTCACACCAGGCAAGGATTCCGTTTGTTAATTGTTATACCCAAAAATCCAGTGCAGTCTAGAGAATGGACGGTGTTCAATGCCCCATAATTTCTTATGCCAATCACTTTCAATTTACATGTTGACACCCATTTACGTTAACTATTCACATAGAAAAAATCATATACCATACCTAGCAATAAATGATCTAATTTCTTGTGCCAGTTATTTCAACTTACATGTTGACACCCATTTACATTAACTATTCACATAGAAGAAATCCTAGCAATAAAAGATCTCCAAGATTTATTTTCTTCACATAATCAACATAAGCTCTAGCAACTAGATAACATGCTAGAGAAAATTTTGAAATGCACCTGTAATTTCTTCTTTTTCAGTCACTGAATTCAGTGCTACCAATTGCTGGGTTTCATCCTTTCCAGAGTCTGATAATTTACCTCCATCTTTCGGAGGATCTTTAGACTTAGAAGTACCCCCCGTCGAAGCTTCATTCCCTGGCTCTTTGGCAGCATTGGGAGGAAGCTCAACCATTGATGTTGAAATAGCTGATTCGTCTGAATTTTTTTTTGACTGTTCATCTGGCAAATCTGGACTTGATTCAATCATTGGGGCAGTATGGGCCTCCTCTTGATTGATCATTTCTTCAGGCTCTTTCCCAGCATCAGAAGACCCGTCTGCATGTTCATTACTGGGAGAGAGTACAAGTTTCAGTTCTTCTGTAGCAGAATCCTTGTTTTCGTTATCATCAGCATCATTTTTGGAGCTGCTTTCACCTACTACTGAATCAGACTTTTCTGCTTTCTGCTTTTCAGCACGAAGATCCTCGTCCTTTTGACCTTGCAGCCCAATGGTTTCAGCTGCTGCTCTGCAAATTTTGTGCTCACATTAGTCATGATATTCTTAGTCTTTTGGCAATAAAAATGATGAAATTCACAAACCCTTCCAAGTCAACTGAATCCTTATTGTTGTCTGGTGGATCTTCCAATCGGAAACAGTGCCTTGCAGCAAGCTGCTCGCTGGAATTTCCAGACAGTGATTTTAAAAGGTTACGAACTGATGCAGTAGCCATATTAGGTTCCACCAATCGTACCAGGAATGCTGCCTAAAAGAGAGAAAATCACCATTTCAATTGTTAGAGGTATATTAATCAAACCCAGCGCAGCCATTACCCAGTAAAGGCATTGGTTTAATTGGGCTAACTGGTCCAACCAGTTCACTTATAGATGGACCGTTACAGAAAATGTGATAAAAATAATTACTTAATGGGGTTGTACATTCGATATCACACCTCAAGAGATTCATTCTGCAGGAATTTAGAAACAACATCTATTATATTCCATTTTTTCTTTGAGTGAGTAGTTTGGAATTGGTTTTCCATGCAAAACCAACACTTAGTAGTCATTATAATATTACCATACTGGCATCAATAGTCAATAAATAAACTTACCATTGTCATCACTGGATTACCAGCTTCAGCAAACGATAGTCTTTCTCCAGGTGAAGGATAAGTACCCACAACTTCAAATGCCTCTTTGAGTGCTTTCAGTGCACAGTTCTCGCCATCTTCTGGTTCAACATCAGATTTATTGTCCTTATCTGGCTTTGAAATTTCCACGGGACAACATGAAGACTGATTGTTATTTGCATTGCCGGGACTTTCTGTTTTCTCAATGATATCTTTAGGAGCTGAAGTATCTTTTTCTTGGTCATTTTTAGAGGCTGAAGTATCAGTATGGCTGGAAACTGGACATCCATTTTCTTTAGGAGTTGCACCAGTTTCATCACCATGATTGAAAAATGCATCCTCAA